CCCCTTCCCTTTCTGCCCCCCCCTCCTATGATACTCTTTGCATGTGTTCTCTCACTGCTGTGTACATAAACCAATATATCTACCAAACGGCAGCTGCATATTGTGTATGTAGATTTGAATGAGCTAAGGATACAAAGGGAGTGTCTACGCTCTGCAAAAAAGGGCCAACCAGCTCCTGCCNAGGCTGCCTGCCAAACATAAACATTCAGCCACGTGACTTGCAAACTCTCGCGAGAGTTTTACACTAGACGGATCCTTTCTAGCCATAACAGTCGTGAGTAAATCTGATTTTGTCAGAAATCGGGAGAAATGCGGGAGGGTTGGCAAGTATGACACACACACACACACACACACACACACACACACACACACACACACACACACACACACACACACACACACACACACACACACACACTGTTCGTATTTAGTCTCCTGATTTTAAATGCCCTACTATGGTTTTGTCACCATTTCCATAGCCCCACCAAAAATATTTTCCACCAGCCGCCACTGGGTTTAGGGTCACTGCCTCTCCTCCATAGTATACTTAAGTACTATATTGACATAATTTTACCTTACTTGACTATTTCCATCTTAAACTAATTAAAACTTTTACTACACAACATTTCATAGCCAAAATCCAAGTTTTTTTCTCATACAATTTTTGTATTCATGTACATTTACCATTTTAATGTAGAAACATATTAATGAATTTACCTTTTTTGTTCTCTTAAATTTGGAAATTCTTTCCCTTTAATGAATCCCTTCTATCAAAGAGAATATTACACAATGTTCTCGTAATTTTTCCAATTTAGTCCAAGAGAACATTTTCATTTATTTTTTTATAAATGTATTCATTAGGTTAAAAAAATGTTTTTGTTTCTCTTAAAGAAAACTTTAAAAAGAATCTCATAAATATCTGAGCTTTTTTCCTTTGAAATAAAAACCTTAGTTTCATGGAATATTCCACTCTTTTCCCCCGTATATTTCAGATTTTTAATTCCTGCAAATGTATGACTTTATCTTCAAAAAAATGTTTTCCACTTTAATCCGAGAATATTTCTTTTTTGTCCTCTCCTCCTGCTCTCTGTACCCTCTCTCAGTAATCCTCCATTATAGTCGGAGCAGCTCCCGGCGCTGTCTGTTTCTGTGCCCTCATGAATACCAGCGCTCATGTTATTACGCAACAGAGAGAAAGCTTCAATAAGAACCCCCCCATCCCCCCCATTAATTTCTTCCTCTAATGTCTCGACCTGTTTTATTTACCACATGTAGCCTGTGCTTTATTTCCTCTCCTGTCTGAGTTCCGCATGGGGGAGGACGCTCAGATGTGACGACTGCGGTGCATGTTAGCGGTTTAATACAAAGTACAGGCAGGATATTATATATTTTTTCTCCATTAAAACGTCCATTCTTCAATTACATTTCAGATACATTTAGAAAGATGTCTTTTCTTAGCAATTTACCACTTCAATTACATTTTTCTCATAAATATAGTATTTTTGAAATGGGTTTTTCTCGCAATATTACCCAATTCCCCAGCCCTCTGCTTTAATTGGTGAACTGTTTTTGATCCTGTGTTTTATCAGGGTTTTAACAGGGTGTGTAGCTAACCTGTGGCTGCAAGTCCACCTCTGACTCACGCAGAAACACACACATCTGAAAAAAAACACACCCACCTTTCTTTTTAAGGATACTTTTGTTAGAATTTCTCAAGTCAGAAGTCAGTTTAAACCTCAGTCCTGTTTGCATCACCCTCTTCCCTCCTCACGTCCTTTGTATTATGGTTTATCTTATTTTTATATTTTTAGTACCCGCATCAAGGTAGAAAAGCCTCTGAACCACGGCCGCGCCCGTCTCTTGTCTTCAGTCAGCCCGATGATGAACCCATTAATCACACGATTAATCCTTAGGTGATTAGAAAATGAAAAGAAGCTGCAGCCCTAATAAACTCTCACTCCTGTATTGCAGGTTTCATTTGTTAGAGGGAGAGTATGTCTTAAGATACCAGGGACCATTTCATTTCCTTAATAACGTCATTATTATAATACTAATTGCTATTATTACTTTTTAAAATCTATTTTCATTGTATTTTTCTGTTGTATAAATATTATTATAATTCTAATAATAAAATAGTATTTTGTAATTTGGTGTAAGATTATTATTATTTGTATTACTATGATTATTGTATCAAATGTATGTGTTCCTTGAAATAATACTTTTTTACACTATTATATTGTTATTGGAAACAAATCAAGTTAAATATATGAGAAAACTAGTTAACATGTATTAATCATATTTGTAGATTCTAAGAGTTATATGTTTGTTTGATTAGACCATAATATATAAAGTTTTATCATAATATTTTTTATTTTGATATTATTCCTTGAGTTATGAAGCCTTTTGTAAAAGAAGATTGATGGTTTAAAACCTGTTAAGCCCCAAGGCGGGGACCCTGTTTTGTTTTTTCAGGACACTGTTTCTCAGGGGATCTTAATATGTAAGAACCTATTAATGTGTTATACCAGATTAACGGAAATAATCTCAGATAATTGACGATATAAACCATTTTTACCAAAACAAAACACAAGTCTCATAAGAAGCATCTAAATGACCCCTTAGCGAAAAATGCTAACGGACATTGGCACAGAACTCAAGATAAAAGTACCCTTATTACTTATCGTAGCTGCACATACAAGATATCCGATTAAAGCTGAGGTTCCACAGATTATTTAGGTATATAGTATCATCCCTGAGTGATCCGAACTTGCGACAGGGGAAGCAAAGACAGACATCACAACACGTACCTTTACGTAGCTTCTAGGGAGATCGTCTCACCGTAGCTGTTAATCTGATCAAAAGACGTGTTCAATGGCATTTAAAACGAGGAAAAACGCGGCTGAATCGGTTAATCCATAGGTTGATAAAGTTCCTGGGCAATAATTGGAATTATTTATAATCCATAATTCCATTTTTATGTAAAAATCGCAGAGCAAAAGTTAGCTGCTAATGGTAGCCACCAGAGTGGCTGCTGCTTCCGGTCTTGGCTATGCGGCAGTATAATACACACACATGACCAAATAAGGACTATGTGGGAGTTCCCCTCAATTCCATTGGCTCTGATGGTTAGAAAGAGATGTCACATGTCAAAATCCAGCAGGGGGAGCCAGAGATATGAAAAATCCACCCAAATGGCCCCAGAAGAGGTTTTCTTTTGCTAAATCTGTCTTAAAAATGTCAAATATCACTTATTTTGCATCAATCTTGATACAGGGTACTTATTATATGTTGTACTTTGGATTCCTAAAG